CACACCAACAATCTAAAACAAATGGGCAAAAAAAAATAAACACACCCATTCCTTTTTTCACTCAATTGTAAGGCTGAGTTTTAAAGTACCCAGTGGGACTGAGAGTGTGAGCAAAGACACCGGCTTTGTTCGTGGGAATATAAGTTGGTGTCCTCCTCATGGGAGGGTGATTTTTCAATATCTACAAATTTAAAATACAGAAACCTTTAACCTAGAAACTTCACTCTTAGAAATTTATCATATAGATAAAAACAAGAGCCATACACAAAGATGCTTGTTGCAATTTTATTTCTAATAGCAAACCCATCAGGGGAGGCTGGTTCAATGACGGTACGTATATCTAGGTAATGGAAAACTGCAGCCATTGAAAGAATGGAATAAACCTACAATCACTGATAGAGAATTATTCTAAACTATATATATCATTAAGTGAAAAAAGCAAGGTACCTCCACCTCATGTACTATGATGGTCCTTTTGTACAAAACCAACAAATATACAGATATGTTTGCATATGCATGAAAAACCTTAAAACTCAACATTGGCTACTTCTGGGCAAATTGATTTACATTGTATACCCTTTTGTATTGTTTGAACCTGCATGTTTCTCAATGTGTTCACTTTTAAAAGCCACCCCTTCCCCCAAAACATACACGTTTGTTGGTCTTTTATTACACAGTAGAAGCATACCAGGCATTATGGATATAACAATGAATGATATTACTTATATCCTCCAGCTTTCAAACGGATGCAGTGATTCTCAAAAAGATTGCTTTTACATACTATCCAGGATGCCACCATACCCCATTGTGTGGGGAATCTATGAGATGCTTCCTACAAGACCGAGATGCATGTGAACACAGTAAAATGCCTTCTACCTATTTTGTTGACAGTTGATATCAAAGGCTTGCCTAACTCCAAAATTTCTCACAGCACTCACTAACATCATGACACAATTAACTTATCAGGTTAATTAGTTTCACTACTCCCAAAGTAGAATCCTGAAAGGAGAAATACAATAGTGGCAAATTTAACAGCGGTGATAAGGAAAACCCCTGGGAGCTGCCCCTCCAATGTGGTTAAATGAGATCTTGAACAAGCTGGTTACAAGAAGATTATATTGAAGTTATCAGGTATGTGTAAAGATGAACAAGGAATTAGGGAATTACTGAAGACTAATTTAGAATTTAACAGCTTTGCCTGGGTGGAGCCATATTATGATTACATATGTTAAGGGTTTGCTGATCAAAAATACCCAATTAGTTTGTCATTAAAAGCACTTCACAGAAAACACATTCATAGAAACCAATCATCAAAGTGCTTTGAATTACTACAAAGTTACAGTAATCAAGGCAGTGTGGTGCTGCCACAGGGATAGACACATAGATCAATGGAATAGAAATGAAAGTCCAGAAATAAACTCTCAGAAATACAATCAATTGATTTGCAACAAGACAATTCAACAGAGGAAAGCATAATCTTTTCAACAAAAATCTGGGACAATTACGTGCAAAATGAAGTAGGATTTCTATTTCATACCATATACAAAAATTAATTCAAAATGGATCAAAGACCCAAATATAAGAATTATAACCACAAAACTCTTAGAAAATATAGGTGTAAATATTTGTAACCTTGAATTAGGCAATGCTTTCTTAGATATGACACCAAAAGCAAAAAAAAATAAATAAATTGGACTTCATCAAAATTAAAAACTTTTGTTTCAGAGGAAACCATGAAGTGAAGCTACCACCCACAGAATGGGAAAAAAAAATTGCAAACCATGTATCTGATAAGAGACTTGTAGCTAGTATATATAAAGGACTCTTACAACTCAATGAAGATGCACAACCCAGTTTAAAAAATGGGCAAAGGGGACCGACCAAGTGGCTCAGTTGATTAAGAGTTGGCTTGGGAGCGCAAGCTCTGAGCAGCAGGGCCGCCAGTTCGGTTCCCACATGGGCCAGTGACACTGCGCCCTTTACAGCTAAGATGGTGAACAACAGCTCGACCTGGAGCTGGACTGCCATAAGTGGCCAGCGACAGCATAGGCTGCAGTGGGGCTGCAGTGGGTTACCGTGAGCTACTATGAGCTACTGTGAGTGGCCGGCAGCTGGCGTGAGCTGCCATGAGCCTTCGTGAGCCACCGTCCAAGTGCCTCAGCCGGGAAGAGCGCAATGATCATAATACCAACATGGGCCAGTGAAGCAACGTACTCCACAACTAGACTGAAAAACAAAAGGACAGCAGCATGTCTGTTCCCCTTCCCCGATTCCCCAATGCTGTTCCCTTCCCCCAATTCCCCAATAAAATCTTAAAAAAAAAAAAGAAATGGGCAAAGGACCTGAGTAAACATTTCTCCAAAGAATGTGTACAAGCGGCCAACATACACATAAAAAGATGTTGAACATCATTAGCCATCAGGGAAATGCAAATCAAAACCACAATGTGATACCAGTTCACACCCACTAGGGTGGCTGTAATCAGAGACAGATAAGTGTTAATGAGGATGTGGGGAAATTGGAACTCTCATATATTGTAAAATGGTGCTGTCACTTTGGAAAATACCCGTCCCTCAAAAGGTTAAGCATAGTTACCATATGACCCAACAATTCAACTCCTAGGAATATATCCAAAAATAAATAAATGCCCACACAAAAACTTGTACACAAATGTTCAAGAAACTCATGACTCATATTAGCCAAACAGTGGACACAGCCCAAAGACCCATCAGCTGATGAATCAATAAATAAAATGTGGTGTATCCATACAATGCAATGTTACTCAGTAATAAAAAGGAATAAAGTAGGGGCCAGCCGAGTGGCGCGATGGTTAAGAACTCGCTTGGGATGCCAGAGGGCCCCGGTTCGGATCCCACATATGAGGGCCAGTGACACTGCCCTCCACAGCTAAGATGCTGAACAACAGCTCAACCTGGAGCTGGGCTGCCATGAGTCGCCGGCGACGGCGTAGGCTGCACTCCCTGTGGCAGTGGGTTGCCATGGGCTACCGTATGTAGCCAGCAGCCAGCGTGAGCGGCCAGCAGCCGCAGTGAGCGGCCGTCCAGAAGCCGGTGACTGATCTGCCTCGCCAGAGAAGAGCGCAATGATGGTGCCAACTTGGGACAGTGAAGCAACGTCCTCCACAACTAGATTGAAGAACAAAACGACAGCAACTTGTCTGTTCCCCTTCCCCGATTCCCCAATGCTGTTCCCTTCCCCCAATTCCCCAATAAAAATCTTTAAAAAAAAAAAAAAGGAATAAAGTACTGATGCATGCAACATGAATGAACCTGGAAAACGAGGCTAAATGAAAGAAGTCGGTCACAAAAAAACACATACTGTATGATCCATTTATGTAAGTGTCCAGAATGGGCAATTCTAGGGACAGAAAGTAGAGGAGTCCTTGGTCTAAATGTTGGGGAGGTGGGAGGAAGGGTGGTGTTAAGAGGAAATGGGGAATGTGTGCTAACGGGTATGGGGTTTCTTTCTGGGGTGATAAATGTGTTCTAAAACCAATTGTGGTGATGGCTGCACAACTTTAATATACTAAAAACCATTGTATTGGACACTTTAAATAGGTGATTTATAAACTATATGAATTGTATCTCAATGAAGTTGCTATTTTAAAAGAGCTATACCAGGCCAAATAGATACAGAATGTATGTCGATGTTGGTACATAAATTTAAAGAGGTGACATTAAAATTCCAAACCCTTAAACAAGCATGCTTACAAGTACTCAAATGCTTCTCACACAAGCGTGCATTACTTTCTTGTCAGGTCCTATTTTAATCCATCAATTTTAGAGCAATCAGTACAAATCAAAGAATTTCTCAAACAATACAAAATTTTTAATAAAATTTTATTCAAAATTAAATATTTTATTCAATCAGAATCACATTTATCAATCAAGTTTCTATAACTTAAAAACACCTGAGCTGAGTTTTGGACTAAGACCAATGTTGTTAACAGCCATTAAAATTATACTCTTCATCCTGGACCAGATGAAGAAAAGGGACACAAACTATTGTTTCCATTGATTTTCTAGTACACATTAACTTTTATTAAATGTCTTATATAAAACTATTCTGTAAATGAAACAAACTGGATTTCAGAAGGCAGTGGGTATGATAGCTGCTACACAATCCACCCTGGTCACACTACTCTTGTTTTTTTATCGTAATGAAGTTGAGCTCTACTTTCATCCCAGTATTGCATTCACCTAACGATCCCATACCCTTTCCTGCCCATCTCATCCTGCAAATAGAAATCCTACTTCTAAGACAATCACTTTTTCCCCCATTACCATGGTCAGGCATAATAATATGCCTTCAGAAGGTTATCCAATATTTATGAATTTTAGTCACAGAATCCTTTAACCATACCCTTCCTTAAGAAAAAAAATAAAGAACACTAGTTCTTTTGCACGCCATTTATTTAAGACAGGCTTCCCGCACGTCTGCTTCCCACCTGGTGAATGTACTAACCTAATTTAAAAAGTGAGTTAAGTAAGGACAGGGATCTTAGTAATGAGCATCCGATCTGAGGCTCACCAGACATGCACCCTCAACTTACCGCCCCGTCTTCTCTGCTGGCACGCCCACCCCACCTTAACTCTAGGTGGAACAGTCTACAGACAGCCCCCTGAATTTGGCTCGTGCTTTCCTTCCATCATGTCATTGCTCACATGAAACACTGCCTTCCTTTCACCCCCATTAAGTCTTTACTTGTTCACACCTTACTGTTCTTCCAAGACCTAGAGGAAAAGCTCAACTCCTCATGTAGCCTTTCCTAACGCTACTGACTCCAGGAAGCAAGTAATGTAAACTCAGTAAACACAGCACAGTCAACAGTGGCACACTTTCATCATGGCACTGAAAGCTAACACAAAGGACACGGGCTTAACTTAATTTTGTCTCCCCTTGTAGAATTTAAGATCTGTCTGGGTAAGGCCTGTAAGGTCCTAAAAGATTACCATAATCATTAATTGAAAATATTCGTCTGCTTTTCAATAAACAATTTTAATGCAAACATTCAATAGGGCATCTTTCCCATTGCTCCCAAGATTTCATCTCTTTCTACTGCTGTAGGCATAGGTGGCTTCACTCCATTCTCTCTTCTCTTGACCATGACAGAATTCTGTGTGTCGGTATAAACAACAAAAACAAAAACAAACCACAATCAGTCATGTATTAAGCGCTAATCATTTGCCAGTTAACTGCTATTGTTTCCTCAAAAAGGAAATTCTAAAAACCAAGTTTAAAACAACCCAAAAAATGAATTCTAGGACTCCAGATAAAGTGTTCAAACTATTAAAAATTACACCGAAGTGATTATTCCCACAGGAATATGTTAATTGTAACTGGGATGGGGATATGCTGTTTAACTACAAGAGCACAAGCATACTGTCTATTAATGAAACCAACAGTTAATTTAGCAGAGAGAAAGGAAGTAGCTGGGTCCAGTGCTCACAGAAACAGAAATTAAAGCCAATCTTTCAAGAAAAATGGGACCATTTAAACTATCCTGGGTGGTGGTGGGAGAAAAGGAGGCAGAAATAGAAGCCTAATATGTGTTATGACAGGACAAGTTATCCATTCTGCTCATCTCCAAGAGAACTAAAATTATAACAAGGTTATTGTATTAGGGCTGCAGGTACTTTTACATGTAGGATGACCACCTATATTACAGCTGTATCATTATACCTTGGAGTGCGATGAGGCAGCTAAGACGAGCACTCAAGGATCGTTTAGGCTAAAATAACACACTGAGGATAAAGTGGAAAAGTTGAGTTTCCCTACAGCTATCCCCAAAAAAGGATTGTAGGTGTTCATTTCAGGCTTTAGTTTCAAGCCTAAGAGATGAGTTAGACTAACTCATCTAACCAAGTTAGACTTACCCAGAATTTCCGGCAGTTTTTGTACTTCAAGAAGTAAGTGGAACACCTTTCCCTATCATAGTTATTTTCATCCATACATCTCGTAGAAGCATCAGATTCCTTAAATATGTAAGATAGGCATCGTTTAAGAGGTGGAATAGGACCTAAAACAAAACTAAAAACCTTCTGAAGCTGCTTCCCACCAAAGCAGCTAATATGAAATAGTTCCTTTTTGTTCATTTTAATGAACAGAAACTGAATTATCTTTCCAACTATCCCAGCACTCATTCTTCTCAGGGCAGACATCCTTTTCATAGTCTGGGTCAGTTTTCTGAATATCTAATCACAGGAATTTGAGCTGAAGCACTGACTGAGATCATTTAACCCAGTAACCATTTAACAAAGAGCTGAGTGAGGCAAGGTACAACGTGCTCAAAACTACTGCTGCACAGCGAGAATCGAAACCCGCTCCCAACTCAGAGCAGCTCCGGCTTTTCCGAGTTCGCACTTTGACTTGAATGTTTGATGTTAATGCTGGTTTCTAGACTGTAAGTAAATCGCTCATATCTGGTCTACATCAAGGCAACTTAAATTAACACTATTTATCTCAATGTATTTTTGGCTATCATTCACTTTAGTATGCAAGTAAATACACTGTTGTGTAAGCAATTTTAATAGATATCATTAATATCACTTCAAAACCAAAGTGAGAAACACAGGACTATGAGTTCAAAGAAGAGTAGCTGCCATTTGGGAATTAAATTTAAGCTGTCTGAACTGGAAGTAGATTGGATAACAAACTTCAAAGTGAAAGGTATGATTCTGAGAGGTCACCTAAAGGAAAGCTTTAACTGAAGGCAAAGGTAATTTGCTTCATAGATCTAAGAAACATATTCTATCTAAAGAGGTTTAATGAAGCAGTTGAAAACATTGAATACACAGAACAAATCTAAATTTCTATGCCAAAGAGTTAATGAATGTGTATATCTGGAAAATGTATATAGGATCAGGGACTATTATTTTCTTAGCACCAATCTGAGGCCTGCATTATTCAAGGGTGACAAAGTCACAAGTATTGCTAGTCATACCAAATAAATGCCAATAAAAGCTTATTATTACAATAAAACACTGTGTTTATATGATACCTTTGTGAAAATTTTTAGGCTTTAAATAGGCTCATTTTATTATCAGCCCCTTACTCTCAGCCATGTGGTCTCAAGGACATGATGAAATTATTGTTATTAAAACATAAATTTCAGTTACAGTTTTAAAAATATCATACTTGCTAACTTTCCATGTTTGGACTAAAAACATTTCTCAGTTTTACATATGCTTGTCTAATATTACAGTGATATTAACTGCTTGCATATTATACAAATAAGGGAAACTTAAAAGAGATAAATCTTTGTTAGTTAAATTATGAATATCTAAAAAATGCTCTAGTGAAATAAGGATATGCTGGCTAGGAATATTTTTTGTACAGAAATAATTTTTTTTAAAAAACTGCAGAAAACAGAAACAGACTGGTAGATACAGAGAACAAACTGATGGTTGCCAGAAAGGAGAGGCTGTGAGGGCACGGGAGAAAAAGGTGAAGGAGAATGAGAGGTACAAACTCCCAGTTATAAAACAAATAAGTCACGGGGATGTAATGTACAGAACAGGGAATATAGTCAATAATACCCTAATAACTTTGTATGATGACAGACAGTAATTAGACTTACCGTGATGATCCCATCAAAAGGTATATAAATGTCGAATCACTATGTTGTACACCTGAAACTAATATGTCAACTATAATAACTAAATTAATGAAAAATAACAACAAATAAAAATAGTTAAAAGATCCAAGTGAATATGTCTGGATGTCTGGATAGAAGGAAACGTAAAACTTCTATATTTAAAAGAATCCCATTAAAATTAAAAAGCAAATAAACTGAGAAAAACACTAGAAAAAAGAACTGCAGAAAACAGATGCCCACAAAATCAGAAGAAGCCTGTTTTCCCAACTTAACACTCATTAAAATTAAAAGCAAACCACCTTACCGACAAGCAAGGATTTATGTCAGGATCTCTCAGCCTCCGTGCTACCAGGGGCATCCTAACAGTCTTCTTGCTGCAGATAAATGTTGAAAAGAGTTATACAGTGGATGACAGAAAATGAATCAGCAAATCTCATTAGCCCCATAATTACTTGAAAATTAATTTGGGCATAATGATTATGTAGTGAGGAATTTTGTATCCTCTATTTTGAGAATAAAGATTTTGATGTGTTTTTTCTTTGCGTTGATTGTCATGGTGCCTCAGCATAAAGGCCATATTTAAATACATCTACTGAAATTTGACTATAATGTCCAGAAAGGAAGACAGTTCAGCTATAACTCAGTTTTACTCTTATTTCTAAAGATTAATTAAATATACTAACAAAACCTAAGGATACAGCATGCACTCTACGATTACTTCCTTATTATATATTGATTATACAAAATAAGTGTTGACTAATTTAATACAACTCATCTTTAGCAAAACCATTTGTTAACTAAAGAACCTATGGCCAGCACTAGGATGGCCAATATACCAAAACACAAAGTTACTGCTTAGTTGACATTTCGGAAAGTTTTAAAAAGACTTGAAACTTTACGTCCAGTGGCATCTTCTATCTAATTGATCTTTCCTCTGTTGAAGGAATCAGGGAATGCTACTGTGTGTAATTCGTTAATCTTTCAACTCAAGCCTTACAGATACAGCCTGCAGAAGTCTTTATCAATTAAAGGTGATCACAGTCCCCTAAGAGCAAATTTGTGATTCCAAGTCGAGTCATATATTCGTATAATAGGTATGTCAACTATATCCCACGATAATTGCTCTCTATAATGGTGTTCAACTGAAACTGGTATGCCTATTATCTTCAAAGAAATGTCACAGAAAGGAACTAAAAGAAACAATTTAAAAATAGTTAACTAACAAATACTTCAGTGATGGGGGGGGAGGGGGCGTCAACATATTGGTATACTATGGATGAGCCACCAACAAATATTTTTAAATGCTCTGCACTAAGTTTAAGGAGCTGATTTAACTTAGATTCCCAAATCTTGATCTAGCTTAATCATCTTACAACTAAAGATTGAAGAAGAAGCCCGCAAATAATGTAGTATGACCTACAAAACGCCACAGAACAGGAACTATGTCAGTATAACCACACAGCGGTCACAATTTTTATATGAAATGGTTTCTACTTGCCTTGCCCAAGATGGGACCATCAAAAACTATAAGTCATGTTAAAAGAAATTAAGTACGTTCAAGAAAAATAATCAAACCTCACAAGCTCCTGAAAAGTGGAGGTCTTCTCAGTCAAGGGTCACCTAGCCCAGTTTCTTTTGTTGTGGGAAAGAGCAGGTTTTCCAGGCGGAAAGAGACCAAGCTTTGCAAAGAAGGATGGAAAACAGTTTAGTGGTTCTGGGTTCCTTTAACTTTTCATACACACTAAGTAATCCTTTTATTTTATGATTTTCATTGAAGAACACATGAATACACCTAGCTAACAGAAACACCTTGGCGAAAAGTAAACTCAAGATGCTGTTCAATTTTATTTAAAAGCGTCTTCCTCTACTGAACACAATTCTTTTACAGGCTTGACTTCTTCCTAGAGAGATGATACTCATAGCTTTGCTTTTTGTATCTATTCTATGATGTGAGAACACAGAACTCTTCTTAGCTGTTCCTGTTCCTTGGATATAATCTCAACAACAATCAGACACAGTCAAAATTCAGGTTGCATGCCTTAAATGAAAGCGTTCTAGTCTGTATTTTATTATCATTTTCAGGATTTAAAAACAACACCGAGGTAACATTACATATACCTATGCAGCATGAGTTTATTCACATTTCATTTCTTTTCCCTTCCGAATTCTAAATACAAGTCAATCTAAGTTTGGATTTCCGAATGTCACCTTCTTTGCATAAATTCCTGATGTATTAACTGGAAATGTCAATTTACAGTGACAAGTGGGACTAAAGGTCAAGATCAAGAGTTCCGTTAGAGAGGCCTCATCTACTTACTTTCTGAAGGTACTAAACAAATATTCCAAAGCTCTACTTTGCCAGAAAGAAAACCAAAGAGTTGAAGGAGAGGCCGCACAAGCACAGCCCGTGTGAGGAACAAATCTTCTCCAAAGGGCAAACTACTTTTAAAAAGTATTTCTTTATTTCCCATCAGTTGTTCAAGTCCCCACCCTCCAAGTCGCTTTGAAAGAGAAGGGGGAAGGGACCTCATGAACATGTCCATGCCACATGCTAGTCAGAACGGAGGCAGGGTCTTGTGGCTCTGATAAAATGCAGATGCAACTATTGGGGGAGTGAAACACGTCATGTGAGAACCTAAGGCCCTTCACCCACTCCTAGGTGCAGGAAGTCAGGGTGGCATACCGGAGGGAGGCAGGGAAATCGAATGGAGAAACCGGAGAGATACAAGTCCGAGACCTCGCTGCCTTCCGCGATGCTTCCTGTGTGTCCAACGGTGGACGGCGGGCACAGGTGAACACACCTTGCTTCGACCTTCGAGAGTGCCGAGTGGGGCTGGGAGCGAGGAAAACGCAGGAAACTGGGAGTAGGAGCCGGCAATTACGCTTCAAAAGCGAGGAGGGAGGGTGAATGAAGAGCTGGGGGTGTCCGGGCAGGGGTCACCTTCTTCGCCCCCGGCACGAACAGACCTGGCGGGGAGGGGAAGCGACGGAAAGGGGCCCGCGCTGCGGTGAACCCTGGTAGAAGCGTCTTCGCGCGGAAATGGATTTCGGCCCCGTTGCGACCTAAGTGCGGCCCTCTCTTCCCACTTCCCTGCAGCCGCCGCGGAGGGAGGGGCGCGGGACCACTCACCTCGGGCTACCGCTTCGCCAGCGCCCGGGCAGTCTCCAGCTCCAAACACGTCAATGGCTCACGCAGCTAGACCTTAAGTAGCGCGCATCCTAGTTTGCTGCCCCCGCTCCCCGGTGGCCAACGGCCCAATCGGCGCGCGCCGCTGCCAGACTGACAGCTGAAAGGGGCCCTGCGCGACGGGGGCGGGTGGGTCTCGCCCCGCCCCCAGCTGATGGGAGGAGGGCCCAGGAGGGAGGAGTGGGCGGAGCGGCG